GAACAGTTTCAAACGAATCATTTCAAAGAGAAGTGTATCCTAGCCAGGTTAAAGTAAGTAAATAAAGGAGCGACTAGAAGGTATTTTCACCTGTTTGAAGCCAACCTTATCAGCGATGCACTGGTCAATTACCACGTGTAGAAAACACTTGATCAGAACCGAAAGTGACTACAAATACTCGTAAGTCGAATTTTTAACATATTTTTGTTTATATCTACGAATCAGTCCTCTAGTAAGGATAGTTGTAAGAAAATCATAGTGAAATAAAACGTAAGGATGACAAATTATTTTAATGTATTACAAGATATATATATGTATATATATACATCTACATAGTGAATTTTCTCAGAGAAGGATACACAAATAAATTTATCGTAACAGGTGATGATAATAATGCTAAGTTTGATATTTTTGATGTTTTGGTATTAGATGATTGGAGGCAGTCGGCAGGAAACCTTGGACCTAGGTTTCGTGCTAGTTGGCATTCATCAGCAAGGCATGTCTGCGACACCGAAGGAACTCATGTCCCTTCTGAGATTCGAGCCCGCGTCACGCAGTGTTGCAGTCAGAGACGTTACCACTGAGCTATTCAGGCGCGCGGTCAACCTCCTGCAGGAATGCATTGGACATTTTTGATTGGACACTAGTCAGTAACTAGTTTAATGTGTCTAGTCCTATCTTCGATGCAGACTGAATTTTATCAGTCAAGCTTGCAATGTGGCCATTGTGCTAGGTAGAACGCCATCACGGTGCACTGTGAACTGTTGGTATTAGATGGTTGGAGTTTGATATGACAATAAAAGTTGTGCAAAACAGATATAATAAAGAAAAAGATTGAATAAAACTCATTAGGTGAAAGAAATTAACTTTTGGAATGTTGAACATCAATAAAATGATGATATTATACAGTGAGTAGAATTCGAAGGATTGGAAATTAAATCTAATATGAAAGTCAAACGAAACATCGAGAGAAACAGTGACACAATCGGAAATAACAATTACTAAGATGGGAGTTACTAGGAATATTGAAGTTCGATGACGAATTCTTTTAAGGCACATAGGTCAAGCTTCCGCCTTAGCAGACTAAAGAAGACTTAGGCTGTTTTGTCCTTTAACAACTTTTAATGCCTTCAACACGCGTCCACCGAGTGTTTGGTAATTGATGGGTATAAACTAATCCCTCTCTCTCTCTCTTCAATTGAAAACATTTTGGTACAAATTCAAATAATTTGAAGTAGACACTACTTTCCGTTTTCTCAGTGTAATTTCTCTCACAAATACAAGTGAACTGATAAACACGGCTGGAATTGACATTTGGATGGTGTGTATCGAGAAATTTATTTTCCAGAGAGACATCACTATAATATATATATATATGTCATAATCCCGGGTGAACCGCTTGAAGTTGTTGATAAGTTTGTGTATCTGGGTAGTTGTGTAAGTGCTGGCGGAGGGGTGACGGATGAGATTTCCAACCGTATAATGAAGGCTAGGGTGGCATACATCAACTTGTGCCACCTCTGGCGCCGTCGCGACGTTAGCCTGGCTGTCAAAGGTCGGGCATACAATGCTTCGGTGCGGGCTGCGCTGCTCTACGCCTGTGAAACCTGGCCTCTCCGAGCTGAGGATGTGCGGCGACTCTGCGTGTTCGATCATCGCTGTCTCCGCAGGATTGCTTGCGTTCGATGGCATCATCGCGTGAGTAATTCTGAGGTTCGGTGGCGTGTGTTTGAACACAGTGGAGATCACCATTCATTGAGTGTCATCATCTGGAAACACCAGCTCCGGTGGCTTGGACATATGCTGCGAATGTCATCCCAGAGGCTTCCGTACAGGTCTCTGTTCGCTAGCCCTGGGACGGGATGGAAAAGGCGGAGAGGTGGTCAGTCCATGACGTGGCGTCGTGGGATGAAGGATATTTGTGCTAGATTAGCATCAGTTGGTGTGTCACGACTCCCTGGTTGGGGTCCGCGAGATAGCTCGAATCGATGGCTCGAAACGTTATCAGATATGGCCAAGAATCGTAATCAATGGCGAACGTGTTGCAATTTCCTTCTTTCTTCACTTCCTGATGATGGTTAACGAATACTGTTTGAACTTGTTAAACATGACTGTTTTCCTTCCAGATGAAGTTCTTTATCCGTTTTCTACTTATATTTTTTACTTTTAATCTATGTTGTTTTATTATTATTGTGTGGCGCATGTTTCTTGGTGCCATATTGTACCAAGTTTTTCTGCGTTTTAATAAATCATAAGAAATAATATGTTATAATAATTTACTATAGTTTATCGTGCTTATATTTATCTTACGATGACATTCTTACAATTACCCTCTCTAGGGGGATTGATACCTATTTGATAAAGAAAAATATGTTAAAGTATGTATTATAATTTGTTTTATTAAATGCTACAAACTACACTCAGTTGAAGGGGACCAACGAAAGAAAATGGATCCATGTCATCCTGCAATAATGTTCGTTCGCTCTCTATTTGAAATTATGAAGGGGAATTCGTATATAGACGATACTCATTATTTTGTGACTTCTACTATTTTGTGATAATTTAAAGTTAAAACAAGATTTAATTTCTATTCTCATATAAATACAAACCTCAAAATAGCCAGCGATAAAACTATTCCCCTAATATACTTAATGAAAGACATCATGAATTCAACAAGTCGTCGCATTAACTACAAATACTTTACCTTGATTTCCCTCTCTCTCTTTCTCTCGTGTTGTTTATATATTTGTTCTGGCAGTTTAAAAATGTGGTTTGTACTACTGACAAGATTAACCAGTAGTATATAGACGCAGATTGATAGAAAGTAGCCAAAATTTAAAATAGGATTTCATCTGAGTGGCTACAAAAGTAGAAGCGTGTATTTCTTAAACCTGGATCTAGCCTGTATTGTGGTCAGGAAACAACCTCAAAGTGTAACCTTCAGAAAATCAACAGCCAGTCAGGACAGTTTTAACCTTTAAGAAATCTACAACCAATCAGGACAGTTTATTATCTACTGACCTAACCGACAATATATGTGACTAAAAATGTATAAATATAGTGTGATTTCCCTCAATAAAAATGTCTGCTACCAAGCTTCTTGTCTTCTTCCATTACGAAAACACTTGTGGTTAAACAAGTCAATGTGACATTTGATTTTCAATGGCTCTCATTAAATCGAGTTTAATATAGTAGTGACATCATCTAGTTTACTAGGCAGGCTGGCAACCTCACCCAGTAAAAATATGCCCCCAATGACTAAGAAAACTTCAGATCACAGAAATAATAATAAAAGTAGATTATAATCTGCAACGTTCATCATGACTCCATTATCTTAATAATTATTCAATTCTTTCAACCACTGTCTACTACAAATAATTATAACAACAATGAGAGTAAGAGCGGCAATTCAGAAAACAAAAATAGTCTCTCCAAACTCATTGAACAATTGAATTATGTAAGATACTACATCAAAACATAGTAAGGAATGTTGAGACGATTTTTGCCCATTTAGACGCTTTTGGTCTCGAGTGTGAGGTGAGTAATAATGAGGTAAGGAATAGAGTGTTTGGTTGTAGAGAAAGTCAGTCGACTGTTAGGCATGACTAGCAGATGCCTTCTCCGATACGTGATGTCACCTGACATAGGATCAAGTTGGAAAAGAGCAAGTAGTCGTCAAACAGAAACTTCGAATCAGTCCATAAAATCTTTAACAGTTAGTTTCAGCCGGATAGAGAGGTGTACACTGCCTCACTGGGTTCTTCGGGGTGGTAAGAACCAATGGCTGCTAACCATTAGTAATAAGGCTAAGAATGGTGCTTAGTGGAGCAGATGCATTCACTCTTTGTGATCTCCAATATCCATCAAACCATTATGTTCTTCCATGTTAATAGGATTCTTTCTCACTCAATTTTCTGCTTATTACAGTCCTTTGGAATCCCTGTTTTATCTCTCTTCCGTCGTCTTTTGTGTGGTATTAGGAGTGTAGCAAGTTGAACTGATGCAATTCTGTGTTAAATTTCTATGTTGAATCGCAGCCATTTAGGATGTTTTCAGTGCTGTTATGTTCCCGAGGCTGAATGGTTTAACTGTTGGGCTTTGGCTGTCTTCCTCAACCCAAATAAACTTAATACTGAAAATGATGTCCGGCAGGACAATGAAAGTTTCACAATCAAACTATCTGTCCAGCTCACAGAACGAAATAATCCCAAAAACGTAGGTTACTTCATTCACTTATCTAGGGAGCATTGTCTCAACTACAGGAGGAACGGATGAGGATGTCAAATCAAGAATCGGGAAGGCGACAAACACATTCATCAACCTGAAACCAATCTGGAAATTTCCGTCACTCAACCCAGCATCAACAACAAAATTCGGATTTTCAATACAAACGTCAAGTCAGTCAGTTCTTCTATACGGATGGATCAGAAACTTGGCGGGTCACAAAGAATATTTCCAACAGCCTGTTGCAGACATTTATCAACAACTGTCTCCGTTCCATACTGAAGATTAGACGGCCGGAAAGAATCATCAACAAGAAGCTATGGGAACAAACAAAACAAGAACCAATCGCCCAACAAAGTGGAGATGGATTGGACAGTCGCTGAGGAGGCCGTTGGGTGACATCACGCGTCAGGCCATAGCTCGAGTGGAACCCGAAAGGGAGGCGGCGAGTGGGACGTCCAAGGGTGATATGGAGGAGATTGTGTGAAGAGGAGTTGAAACAGCATGGACTGACATGAATGCAGGTGAAAAGCACAGCAGAAGACAGAAGCAAGTGGAGGCGTGCAGTTGAAGCCCTATGTTCCACTAGGAACTCAAGGGACCAGTTATAAATATAAAAATAATCGTCAAAAGGAAACACTGATAAGTAACAAAGAAAACCATTTTGATATTTCTCGATAAAGAAACTAAGATATTGAATTGAGCAAAACAAATCACTTTAGCAGATCATTTAACGTGCTTTTTTCAAAAATTTCCTAATTAAATTACCCACTTACTTGCACCAGTGAATTCTGGAACATTGACATCAGCAAATGCCTGAGATTTTACATTTTTCAAACTCATTATTATTCTCAAATTATTTCTGTCATCTGATTGTTTGTAGGTACTTGATTGCCCATTACGCTGATCGACAATTGCTTTGCTGTTGCTGTTGTTCTTATTATCCTCCGTATCAAATATAATTTGAGTCTCTGACAGACATTCATAATAATCGCCAACTCTGGCTTGCAAACGTTTCTCAGCTAAACTGTGTACTGTAAATTCTTTGTTAACTTGATTTGAAAAAGAATTCAAAACAAAAGTAAAATATTACAGAGGATAAACGAATAGTGATCAATTATAGATAAGAAGAAAAATAAGAATTTTGTTTTTCGAAAACAGTTCAATGATCAATTGTATCAATGTAGCATAGAATTCCGAACATTTAGAATCTTATTCACTTTCTCAGTGTGCATTTCATCAACGTATAAATTTCAACTTGTGCGTCGGTGGTATAGCGGTTAGGACGCTCGCTGACCATGCACATGGTTCGGGGTTCGATCCCCGGCCGGCGCACTCATTTACCTCGTTAAGCCAGAAATAATGCTGGTGAAGAGGAAAGGTTGGTCATGAGGCTAGCAACCTCATCCTGTGAAATAAACACTGCTACAGAAACTTCAAGCCACCAGCCTGAAGCCCTATGTTCCACTAGGGAACGTGAAGGAAAAAATAAATAAATTTCAACTGGGTTCTTTTTTTCTGTTGGCAACAACACCCATAACCCTGTAATCAAAATATTTGAGCTGATCAATGTGATCAAGTTCATGAGTTTTTAACTTAATCATAATAAACAAAACAATTGAACAAAGAATATCCTTTTCTATAATTTCATCTCCTACTCTACAATTATATATATATATATGTTCACATACACAGAATGTTCTAAAATAGTAGTCAATAACATTATTATTGTTTTTGAAATAATATCGATTTGTCAAATAAGTCCGATGGAATTACAGTTCATTAAAGATGCTTAAATTATAATAATAATAATAATAATAATAATAATAATATAGCAAATAGAATATCAACTAAAATCAAGGAAATTTCTACAAAAAACTGAGGATCATTCGAACTTAGATGGCCAAGGTAAGGACAATCTCTGAACTAGCTTCTTTTGGACACATAAGTTAGGCTTCTTAATGTGGATCTCAACGGCCTCAGCAATATGTACGCCAGTTATATAGGCCGTACAATTAGGCATGTTTCTCTTCGGATTTCCGAAAATCACCCTGGATGGTTAAGTAAAGGACAAACTAAATCTACTTGTAGTGCTATTCTATCTCATCTTGTGAATACAGAACACAAGATTGATGTCAACGAGGCTTTCGAAGTCACTTACCGCATGCCGACAAATGTTAACGTCGCCTTAAAAGTTTTTCTACTACATATTGCTGAGGCCATTGGGATCCACATTAAGAAGCCTAATTTATGTGTCTAAAAGAAGCTAGTTCAGAGATTGTCCTTACCTTGGCCATCTAGTTTCGAATGATCTTCAATTTTTTGTAGAAATTTCCTTGATTTTAGTTGATATTCTATTCGCTATTCTATTTTGATTATTATTATTATAATTTAAGCATCTTTAATGAACTGTAATTCCATTGATCTTAGTTGTGGAGTCAGAAGAGGAAATTATCGAAAAGGATATTCTTTGTTCAATTATTTTGTTTTTTATAGATGTCTGAACGAATATTTTCGCTATATAAATCTTAATAATAGCTTTGTACTGGAAAATGTCCATATACACAATACAGAATTTTCAGCAGGTTTCCTATCACATTGTACTTACTTCTTGTACAGAATCTTTCAGTAATACAATAAACAACAATGTTATCAAATGAAGCAACATAGTTTTATCTGAGGTATGAGCCAATGATCTACCATGTTTCTCCTTCATTCCTCTCAGAACGCTCTGGAGAACGCTATCCACCACGGTTAGCGAAGGAAAAATACAAAGGTGCGTGTACAGTTCAGTAACAGTATATCTGATAAATTCAAGATATTTAGCGCCATTCAAAAAGCCCTTCAAAGTCATACACAAGATCCCATCAAACATTTCACAGTGAGAGAAATCGAGACCCTTGGGAATAGCTGAGGCGTTAGCGATCCAAAAGTTCAAGCCCAGACTATGTACCCAAAAAAATACCTTCAACACTTGTCCTTACCATGAACATGATAAAATGTCAGTCCTAACACATAATGATTATCCTATTACCTTTCTTATCCAATCTTCCCGTTTATTCCTCTTAGTTTTACACCATTTTTTAATTCCCACCTGCATTACTGTTTTTTATTTAAAATTCCAGCCTATTTTTATTGCTACTACACTTTTGATCCCTAATTGCACAAAAAAGTCACGTTTCTCAGTAATTATGATCATACTATGTAATTTATCCATTAAACCACGAGGGTCACGATAGCTACTTCATGTCCTATGGTGTCAGTTACTGCTTAATTCACTTTAGACTTTCCCGTTGATTGATTGGACAGAATTTCTCTATCTCTGATGAGTCCCGAATAGGACGAAATGCGCGTCCTGTATTCCATAACTAGTCAGTATCCACCAAATTACTTCAGATTAAATCTTCAGAAATCGTTGAAGCACCCGCACAAAGAACCGACATGTCCACCTGAGACCGAGTACTTCTGTTCAATCAATCAATGCGGAAGTTCAAATCGACTTACAATTCAACGCATAAAATATCAAATGGGTTTCAGAATCTGTTTATTACTCTTCTTATATAACTTCAAACATGTTATCTAACTCATAATTTAGACATATTCAGCTGCAATCTACTAAATAAAATATTTATGTCAGATTCAATTACTCTGAACAGAATGACCACGTTGTATTGCCAGACAGACTCCCACAGTTAGAATTCAGTTCCTCAGAACAGATTTTTCATACGTCGGGCTATGGGGCTAAACGTATTGCATGAGGGATAGTGCTACTATTCAGTTGTCCATGCTGAATTAGATAAGGCAGCGCTCGTACTCGAGACTAACTGGTTAAAAGCCGAGTGATCTAGACAACGGACCTCAAACTTCTATGCAAAGGATGTAGATGATACACTTTGTCATTTTCGATTGTTTTAATAATGAGTTGCGAGATGACAAATTCTGAAAGAAGGTTCTATTTATCAGCAAATAATCCAGTGAAATGCACATCATTTCTGAGCTTACAGTGACTGATTTCTTTTTATTTTATCTTTAATTACTCACTAACACATTTCTCAACAAGCATGCCAAAGAAAATGAAGATGGACACAGGATTTTATAATGAGCTGACATCGGTTAGAGAGCTATTGGAAAAACTAAAAGTTACTGAACAGCCGTTTCACCCCAGTTTACAACACTTCAGCAGAACGCATTCCCCACCAGGATCCGAACCCAGGACATTCCGGTTACAAGGTGAGCTTGTAGACCATTAAGCCACTGGGACCTTATCCAACGGATATTCAATGAATTTCAAATTCTGCCAATTCATGACATAACACGACCACTAGACAATGCGATCCGTGGCAAGTATTTGTCTTCACACCCGAACTGGATAAAAAAACACTAAGAAGCCTGTTGTATGACGATGAGTAGGGTGTGCAAGAGTGCCATGGGGAAGATCGTGAGAGGAGAAGATGAAAGCCTATGGGACACAGCAGAGATAATTAAAGAGGACTGAAGAGGTCATGAGAAAATGGAGACGTGTTGTTGAACACCTATGTTCCACTGAAAACTAAAGGGAATAGTAACGTAATAATAAATTACCATCAGTTTGTCAGTCGAAAGTTTTCAAGATAATTTAACTGACACTTAAGTTATATCCGTTAATTTTCTTTCATTTCATTACAGTTATTTTATTACCTCTCCATTTTTGTTAATCTCTTCCATTGATGGGAGTAAGGATTCGAATATAAAGTTAATATGAAAACTATACTGACTGTTCACAATAATGAGAGAATGATGAATGCTTAGTAGTGTAACACAACGTGATGTAACTAAGTGAGTGATAATCGTCAAAATGGATATCACTGATTGGATAAACTTAACCTATGATTGTCCTCATAAAATCAATAGCTCCATTGAACTCACTGCTAATGAAATTTCAACTCAGATGAGAAAGGCTGTTGTCCACTTATGACATCCTTGGCGTAGATGTGATGTACACCTAACGAATACAGTACATCTGTGCTGCGCGGTAGTTCAGACCCTTCTTCTCTACCGATGTGAGATATTGCCATTGACAGGGGAAGATTTAAAAATGCTACTTGTCGATACCAAAGGATTCTACATTATAGGCACCTCAGGGGTTCGAACCCAGAACCTTCCGTTTACAAGGCAACCTCGTAGAAAATTCAGCCCCTGGGACCTGGTCAGATGGCCCATGAATTCTAGCTCCTACCAGTTCGGAAGGTCCTGAGTTCGAAACCCGGTGGATGCATACTGCCGATAAGTCCCAAACAAGGATAAAACAGCTATGCAGTACTCCATAATTTTCAATGGTTCTCTAACTTATGTCAATCTATGATCATACTTGAAATAAATCCTCATTGTTCTCCATGAAATCATTCCATCTCCTTCACATTTCTGTCTGTTAGAGTTTCTTCAATTATGGAGAAAATTTATCTTGATAAAGTCTCACAGTGATATACAATAATATTTACTGATGACGTTTCGAGCTCAATACTTTGCATTTGCTTTATTCTCTCCCCTGTTCTGTGTGTGAGTGTGTCAGCAGCTCATTAGTAGAATACTCGCCAACCACCCACATGGTCCAGGGTTTGATTCCTGACCGGTGCACTCCAAAACCTCGCCTAGCTGGCAATGTACCCGGTGAAGAGAGAAGGTTGGACATGAGACTAGCAACCACATCCTGTGAAAAAATCAATACAGCTGCTACTGAAATTTTGAAGCTGAAGCTTGAAGACCTACGCTCTACTCAGAATCCAAAGGAATAAAATAATAATAAATAAAACCTTTACGTGAGATTTTATAAGGTGTGGCATCTTGAATCGCAGCAAAGTTCTATGTTGACAGTTCAATACAGTTCAGCCAAGAAGAAAATCAATACTTTACAACCTCCAGTAATGAATGACATGATAAGCATGCCTTGTAGGCATGTAGGAGGGAGCTTACCTCCATTAAAACTATTTTTGAAAGTACCAATGTATAACTAATCACTATTAAAAGTTATGTTGGTAACCAGATAACCAGTGAATTTCAATAATCAATATACTCT